CTAGGAAAAAGCTGAACAGCCTAGAGCCTACGTTGACGTTAGGTCACCTACTTTGCAAAGATTTGGGTCAATGTAGTCTGCAGACCTGTTCAGTTTTTTTCTTGTATGAGGTGCCACAACAAAAGAGAACCATGGTCCCACTCTAGAGACAGGTCAAATGCTTCAACAGCAAACATCCACTCAATTACTCAAAAACCCTCTTCCACACCCACAAACTCCTACTATTAGTATAATGCCTCAACCCCTCCATCCCCCACTCCATGCCCACACCACTCTCCTTATGTCCCCCAAACGGCACTCTAGGATCAACATCAAAATGTGAATTCACCCACACACTCCCCGCCTCCAACTTCCGTGCCATGGCCTCCGCGCGCGTGATGTCCTTACTCCATACCGATGCGCCCAGCCCCGTTCTGAGCGCGTTGGCGCGGTCGATGACGTCATTCTCGTCGCGCCATTTGAGCAGTGGGACGATGGGACCGAAGGGCTCTTCTTGCACGATGCGGGAGTCTTCGGGTGGGTTGTCGATGATGGTGGGGGTGATGTAGTAGCCGGTTTGGGGGGTTGGGGTTACGGTGCCGGCGAGGGCGGGGGTCCAGTTTTGGAGGGGGATTTGGGCGTACATGTTTTGGACTTTTTCGAACCTGGGCAACGTGTCAGTACAGCGGTTGATTGAAAAGGGAAAAAATGTACTCACTGCATCTTGTTTTGCAACGGCCCTACCACAACGCCTTCTTCCGTCCCAGCACCAGTCTTGATGTTCTCCTTTGTAAACTCAACCATTTTATCCCGGAACGTGTCGTAGATACTCTCGTGAATGTAGATGCGCTTCGTCAACATGCATATCTGGCCCGAATTGAGGAAACTCAGCGTCGCGATCTTGGGCAGGCATTTATCGATGTCCACGTCTTCGCACACAATCGCCGCGTCATTCCCACCAAGCTCTAGCACATATCGCTTCAGCGTCTTCGCGCAAGATGCCGCGACGAGTTTGCCTGTTGCTATCGAGCCTGTAAAAGAGATCTTGTCGATACCAGGGTGTTCTGTGATCCAAGGGCCGAGTTGGTCGTCTCCACTGAGAACCTGCACGACGCCGGGAGGAAACACGGCCATGGCCAGCTCGCCAAGCTTGAGGTCGCAGTACGGTGTGTACGGCGATGGCTTCATGATGAACGTGTTTCCCGTAATCAGTGCTGGACCCAGTTTGCCCAGGCCTAGTAGGATAGGCCAGTTCCAGGGCACGATGCCGGCGCATACGCCGATGGGTGGGTGGGTTGAGTAGATGGTCTTTTCGTCGTCTTCTTGTAGGATCTCATCCTTGATCTCCATCGTCGCGAAGGCGCGTAACCATGTTAGGCCGCAGTCCATCTCGGTTCGGGATAGCGATAGTGGTTTGCCCTGCTCCGAGGTGAGGAGTTGCTCCAGCTCATCGCGGTGGTGTTCTATTGTATCGGCGTACTTGAGGAGTAGATTTGCTCGCTCGGAGAAGGGTGTGGAGCTCCATGATTTGAACGCCTTGCGCGCTGCGTCTACGGCGGCATCGAGATCTTCTTTCCTGGCTACTGGCACTTCGTAGAGTGATTGGCCGGTGGCTGGATTGATGGAATGCCGCGTGGTAGGAGTTGGGATGAGCTCGTTGTTGATGACATTGCCTAGGTAGGTCTTTGTGTCGAGTTTGGAAGCCATATGGAGTCGTCCGTGCTTGATGACCTTTCAGGATTCGGATCGACTTGCAGATAAGAATGCGCACCGCAGCGGCATAGTTATACGCATAGCTAGATGCGGCCAAGTTCTGATGGCTGCGGTTGAAGTGGGGTTGACATCGTACAGACGCGGGGTAAGCATCACACTACGAGCTGTCATCGTTCGCATATGCTCGGTGGCTATCTGATTCGTAGAGTGTATATTGTCTTTGCTTGGTGTTGGGCTCATCGCGGTTCCTGGGGATTGATGACGCAGTGGGCCAGCGGTGCACGGATGCCAACAAAGACGACGCGGGGATGCGACGCGTCTTCGATCACGCTCCAACCAACCCATCCACTTCATCACCAAGCCATCCTGCGGCACCACCCGTCTCTACGTTAGGCCACGCGCAAGGAGATGCCAGGCTCGACTTCACCGCCATGAAGATCTCGTGCGAGCCAGATGTCGGCTGAGGCATGCTTTCCCCGCCAAGCATCATGAAACGGCTATCAAACTCATCCTCTTCCGCACGACTCGACAAGACCCCTACCTCGTTCTAAGATCGCCCAGCTGAGCCCAGCCGTCACTCGTTCTCTAGGGCCTGTCGGTTTCAATTAAGCTCATTGTCACCCCGCTTAAGCCTCTTCGAACAGGGCACAGAAGCTCGTACAAGCATTCAACCGCCGCAAGGTCGAACGCCAAGATGCATCTGTCACGATTGCTGAAACTGAGCTCCCCGTAATACCCGGGCTGAAAAGTAGAGATATAATGGCGACGAAGTCCACAGTAAGGCGACAATGAATGGAACCTGACTATCTACTCAAAATGCCCTTCATGCACTCAAAAGGTGCTACTACGCTCGGTCATACTTTCCGGTGAGTACCATCGTTGCTTTCAGATTCGCAAGGCTGAACGGCTAACCAGAGGTAGAAACTTTGATCAGACGATCATCACAGTCAAAGTCGGCGGTAAAGACTACGCCGAGTCGTTCAGTTGCCATCGCGAACTCCTCCGACGATGCTCCCCATACTTCAACACATGCTTAGAGGAGAAGAGCAATTCGCCCTACGAGAAGTCGGGAACTACGCTAGACCTCGACGACACAACCCCTGACGTGTTTGACGCGTTCATGCTATGGTTATACACAGGCTTCATACCACACCATCTCATTGAGGGAGGGAAGGAGGTCCATCCTCCGACTCATGCAGTCAGTGTTAATGGCGGCGACAGCTCGAGCACCACCGGTCAGGAGGAGGGCGATGATGTGGATACTGCGTCTTGGGGCATTGCTTTAGAGACCGACGAAGCGGAAGCGGACGCCGCGCCGGCCAACGCTGCCGCTGCAAGCAGCCCTGCACCGAGTGCGGAGAAAGTCCCTGGCGATGCTGAACCCGAAAAGGCTGCCGTAGTACCGCCTCCACGAAACCCAGCTGAGAAGCCCGAGATACCCAAAGAGACGCTGTGTCCATGCTGCTCAAGGCCATACAAGTGGAGAGGGCTGGAAGGCTTCTTAGAGCGCCGATTCATCTCACTCTACGTCTTCGCACACCGCTACGCCATACCCAAACTACGTCGCGCCGTCATCCTAGCATGGCAAACAAATGACGAGATCCTACAAGTCATGCCCGACCACAGCAACGTCATCGCGGCCTACGAGAGCCTACCACCAGACGCACCGCTATGCCGATACTTCCTCGATATGTACTCCGTGTACTGGAACCCCGACCGCGACGACGAGCGCACGATTGCCCTGCGAAGTCAGCTTCCGCAAGCTTTCTTGTTCGAACTGGTAACAATGTTGGCGAGGGGGGAGAGGCCAAAGATGGAGAAGGAATGGTGCGAGTTCCACGAGCACGAGAGTGAGGAGGAAAAGAAGGCTTGCTTGGATGACTTGGCCAAGGACCCCGTTGCGAGCAAGGCACTCAGGCGCATCAAGGATAGCAAAGGCTGGAAGGGGCTGGTGCTCAAGAAGGGAAAGAGATGAGACAATGACAACCAATTGCACACGCATCATGGCATGGCGTTTCGGAGTCGCATAACATTGGCATATCCCGGTTACACAATTAGCAACACTTATTCTCATCGCATTCGCATTTCCAATTTGGCGAACAATGTCCACATATGCCGCCCCCTCAACCGCTAACACTCGTGTTCTCCGCCTCGTCAGCAAGCTGAGGAATGCGGGGAAGCAACACAAGATCTCCTGACCGCGCCGGACATATCATCATATGTTCAACTTGGCCATCTTTGCTAAATTCACCCTGTGGCATCTTCCTAGCGGGCATTTTTTGGTCGCGCTGGATGATACGGCGAAAGCCATGGGGTCGCTGCTACCATTCACGTGCATGGACTTCTTGCTTGGCATCTGCGGATGTCTCGCGGTACGAGACCAAGAGGTCTTGTAAGACTATGATGGCTCAGAGTTTCGCGTGAAGATCGTGTTCGTTGGAATGACTTCGTACTGATCTTGCCATGAGTGTTGATGTAGCGTTGCTGCTCTAACGTTGATACGGGACGTATGGCTTGGTGATGATGCATTGGCGTGAGTGGTATACGGTACTACAACGTAACTCACATAGCTATAATAGAGCATTTCGATTATAAGTAGACTTCACCATTCTTCTCACGTTTCCGCGTCTACACCGAGCAAAGCAACACAGTACAACAATTCTGACTTCAATCGTCCACTCACTCATCAAACTTGCGTTACCACCGCGAAAACTAATCATGCAGATATTTACTATCGCCATGTTTCCTTCCTTCCTCGCCCTCACCACCGCTCTCTCTCCACCCTTCGAACCCCCCTGCGACATATGCGTCCCCACCCCCGACAAGAACAAATGCGACATCACCACCTCCTGCACCTACGTCTGGGGCCACGACGACCCCAACACACCCGGTCCGAATTATTGCGCCTGCCGCCATGGGTATCGTACGTCTCTTCCCAGCCCCCATCACCAACTTCCCAGCTGCCATCCGCCACACCTCCATGGATAACACCTGCTAACATGGTCCAACAGGTGCGACAGGCTACGAAGCCAACAACTTCGAAGTTCAATGGCGACTTCCGTGGTATGGTACGCCGAACGGTGACCCGAGCCAGGAGGGTAGGGTGTTCGTGAAGCCGGGCGTGGTTTGTAACACGCTTTGTGATGATTAGTATCTTGGGAAGGATGGGTGTAAGGCTGTGCAGGTGAAGAAGTGGTGCATGTAGGGGAGAGCAGTAATGGTAGTGGTAGCGTCTTTTAGTGGGGATTCTGGTATATGACCCTTTCGTTGTATAGTTATGCTATATTCAGGAGCCAATCTTGGTTATTCTACAAGTCTTCGTCTTCATCGTCGGAGGTGTCAACCATATACTGGCTGTGGAGCCGAGCGTGGATGATCGGGTAATCTTGGGGCCTTTTCTCGCGAATGATTTGTGGTTTCCATGTTAGCCCTGACTTTGACCTGATTGGATTCTCCTTCCAGGGCTCTTGTCGTGTTGTGCACATATCTCTTTGATTCTCCATCCTAGCCCTCTCCTTCCTATCTCTACGTGCATTGAGAGAATCCATAAGCTTTCCATGACGTTCAAGACTGAATTCCCCACCGCCTTGCATTTCTTGCTCGACTGTTTCTTTGTTGGCCTGGGCGTGGAATCGATCGACTTGCGCTCGAAGGTGCGTGAAACGTCCATTCAGTGATCCAAATAGATCCATGACATTGTCCAAATCTTGATGCCTCTGGAGCGTCTCTACATCAACCGTTCCATGCGGAAAGCGAACACTTTTACCAGCACGCTTTCCTTTGGAGACGAGTCGCACTCGCTTGAAGCTTCTCACGTCCTCTTCCTCGCGCTCATTGAGCTCATATATATCTCGTTTTCGACTACCGGTGGCTGTAGCTCCTGGTCGCAAGTCGGGCTCTCGTGTATGTTGACCGGCTTGTAGCGGAGATTCGTCGTCCTGAATCACGGTAATCCTCCGAAAGAACATCTGACATTCTGTACAGTGTATATCGGCATCAGTCGTATATGATGATGGGGTCTGGCATCCTGGACAAGTAGTACTACTGCTCTCGCTAGCATCATCCTGACTGAAGATAAAGCTCATGTCAATTCGTTGACCAGGTATAAAGGCAGCCTGCCATGGACGCGACAACTCGATCTCTTTTCCCGTACCTCGGGCTTGTAAAGCGTATTGCCTTCGTCCAATCTTGATCTGACCTGGCATGTCCTGGAAACGCAGCTCAAGAACGGAGTGGAAAGCATCCCAAGAGTTGATGAATTGCAAATGGACAGGCACAATACGACCCATAGGATCGTCCAGTATTATCGGCTCCTCGAACATGCTTCGCTCTAGGTAGCTGGGAAGTGAAGTCTGCAGGCGCATAACAGCATGGTAAGTTGCGAAGTTGATCGTCATCGCGCCTCGTATCATGCCTTTGAGCTCAGAACCAAGCTTTCGGAGCCAATCTAACTTGAGTGCTTCGGATACGTTCCCCAATATCGAGTTGGCAACTTCGATATTGCGGTTAGCATTCTCAATGCCGTCTTTGATGTCTATGAGTGATGCATCATGCAAGAGCGTCACCCTGTCGTTCCTGCACTTTGCTTCGTCGAGTTTGTCATTCATCTCTTTTCGACTCACCCCAAGTAACGTGCTATACAACATCAGCATCAGCTCTGACCAGGATAAATATGCGACTTACACATTGGCCGTAATCAACAACATCTGCAGACTTGATGTCGTCCCCGCGATCTCTGCGCGAAACTGCTCCAGCGCTTCTTTCTCTCCAGTCCTCCAACCAATCGCCCTTCCAATCTCTCTGACCCTGTTCACTTTACCGACTTCAAAAGCGCGCTGGTATTCCTGGATGCGCTTCTTGTAGGCGCTAACGCGGTCGTTGCATCTAGCTACGGCTTGCTTTGCTGTTTCGCAGAGACTCCGTAACTCAGGCGTAGCTCCATCCCCATGCTGTCTAGTAAGTAAATCAATCTCGAGGAGCGTACGGTCGAGAGTCCAAAGCTCGCGTACGGCGGCCTGGTACTCTGCTTTGGAGCCGCGAGCCTCGTCGAGCGCTGCGACTAGATCTTTCACAAGCAAAACGACGGAGATGATGTCGCCTACGGCACCGAATGTGACCGGCATGGCAAAAGAATAACAAAACGTTTGGGCAATGACACGATAATGGTATAATGAAAGTGTTGAAACTTCGTGGGAGATTCCATCTGACCCCGCCTGAATGAGGCTGCACAAGATGGCGGAGTCGCTAAGCCTCCACGAGGTCCAGCCAGTAACATGTCACACATACGACGCCACTTCATATCGCGACTGCCTGCCGATGCGGCACAGTTGCCAAGACCACATCCTCTAGTTTGACCTCACCTCACTCTTGAGACGAATAACCACTCTCAGTGTCCGACTTCTTCTCATCTGTACGCACCCTGAAACGATCGGTCTTTTCATCAGCCCAGTGTGGGCGCGCATCGAATGCGAACTGCAGAATCTCTGGACGCTGGTAGTGGCCCGCCGCATCGATCCATACCTTTACCGATCCCATATGCGAGAAGTCAATCTCGCCCTGCACCAACTTCTCCTCCCCGCCCGTGTGCGGACCAGCGATGTACGAGCAGAATGGATGGAGGACAGAAGACCAGCCGCCGCCAGCCTTGACAAGGTCCTGTTTTCCGAGGTTCTCTTCCATCCAGTCGAGGCACTGTTGGTCGACATAGTTGGAAGCAGTGATGACGAAGACTTGGGCAGTGAGGGCATGGGCCTTCATCAACGCCTCGATCTGCGCATCGGCAACGGCTTCGAAGCCGGCCATGGTGGATAATGCCGGCCAAGCTCCCGCATGAATGTGCTGGTTCTGTGTGATGAGGGCCTGGCGCGCGCCGTTCATGGTATGCTCCCAACACGCGAGACCTCCGAGGTTGTACCCGAGCGACAATGGCCAGTTGCGCAATGTACTTCCGTTGCCCTGAGCCCACACCATGCGCTCGACATAGGTTGGCTGGAGCTTCCGATGAACACCGAGTATAGTGCCGTCGCTATCGATAATAACTTGCGAATTAAACAGTGTATAGCCGTTGGCGACACGTTCGCACACGCCCAGATTGATGGCTACACCGGTCCTGCGACAGGCATCCTGAATAGCACTCACATCCTCCCCATTCGGCTCCACTACAACGCTCTCTTCGGCGTATTTGGCCAAAGCAGCGACCTGCTTTAGGGGTGGGTAACATTCGATCCAGTACTGTGGTAATATTAGCCTGAGCCCCAGCATACCAAGTTTGAGATAACAGCCGATGCACATACAGGATAGCCAGGAATGAAGGTCTCGGGGAACACCAAGAGCTTGACATCATCTTTCGCAGCTTGTTCGATGAGGCGGATAGTCTTCTTGATGGTGGCAGCTTTGTCCATGAAGACAGGCGCAGCGTGGGCGGCAGCCACCTTGAACTTGGTTTCCTTGGGTGCCATCTTGTTGCAGCGCGATAATTGGGGTTCCTACTCGATGAATTGAGTCAAGACTGTCAGGCTGGTGAAACTGCGGAGAAGAGAGCTGTCGTGGACCCAGATTTCTTTGTTAAGGTTGCTTGCTACCTGCCAAGATCGCCGCTTCCGGTCGGTCACCGTACAACGGCGGCCGCTGCGGCACGTCGTTATCTCCCGCGTCGTGGAAAGGTCCGATTGCCCAACTGCCAGCCCTTCCCGGATTGCCAAACAATGCAACTGCACACGAAGATCGTTTGTCATCGGGCTAGTGCGCATCAGGTACCCGGCTCGTCACACCACGCGTTCTCGCAGCCAGGTGAGCCTATACAAATATGGCTAGCGTCGACTCCATTTCGCACCGAAACCGGCACTCTCCCCGAAAACACTGGCATTCACTCGTTGCACAATCGGTGCGATTACGCGGGAAACTCATCCGACTGGACATGTGATTGCACGGCCTTATGGGTTCACTGCAATAGATGCATGTCGTGACACAGAAAACCGCCGAGTGAATGGGGGTGCAAACCCCAAAAGCCTGCACGGCGATAATACAACTTGACCCTCTGCGTCAAATAATGTTGTACCATTCTCTGACCCTTCGCAAACCAAACTGCGTGATTCCGACGACAACCGGCTTTTGACATGGCGTTCGATTATTTTGCAAACCCCCCTCCGGGTCTCGATTTGAACGAATCCCGCACTGCTTCTAACAATGCTATCGGCGTTGTACTTTTTGTACTTTCTCTCGTTTTCGTGGGCTTACGCCTCTACACTCGCTTGCACGTAAAGCGTGAGCCACTGGGTCTAGATGATTATCTCATGTTTCTCGGTCTTGCGCTGAATGCGGGCAACCTAGCGTGCTGCATTGCAGGTAAAGCAGTCGATCCCGCAAGACTAATCACGGATGCTAACGTCCAGACTAGGCGGCTTCTACGGCCTTGGAAAGCACATATGGTCCTTGGGACCGTATGAGATGCGACAGATTACGATAGTGCGTTGCGACTCCCAGAACCCCACAAGTATCGCAGTACTGACCACAGTAAGATCACCTTTGCATATGTCTTCATCTACGCATGGAGTGTGTGCATCATCAAGTTCTCGATTCTGGCGCTATACCGCCGCATATTTGGCCTCTCGTACTTTGGCTATTTCTGCATCGCTCTCACTACAGGCTATCTTATCACCAACCACATCGTCCTACCGCTCTACACGCGACCGCTGCACTATTACTGGAACCAGTGGTACGGAGATAAAGGCGTGGTTCAGGTAGACGAGGCAAAGGTGAGAATACTCCAAGACCGAGCTGCAACAGCGACTGACCAAGATGTAGTTTTATCTCGGTGTCGGCATCATCAACCTTTTCGGCGATGTGTGCATCCTTACGATACCCATAGCGAGTGTGCTTAAGCTCCACATGGGACGGACCCAGAAGGTGGCAGTCTGTCTCACATTCCTACTTGGTAGCTTGTACGTCACATTCCTACGTCAGTTCCTACGAAAAGGTTTCGCTAACAAGTACAGCGTCTGTTTTGCTTCGCTCTACCGCATCATCACCATCACCCATCTCGTCCAGTCGAAAGACATCAGTTGGGCAAAGAGCGACGTCTTCATCTGGTCCTCCGTAGAACCCTCCATCGGCATCATCTCCGGATGCCTACCCACCCTGCGACCGCTCATGATGAAAGTAATCAACGCACTCTCGACCCGCCTGCCATCCTCCTTCAAGTCATCGCAGCACTCCGAATCATCCGGCCCCTCGCTGAACCCTCTCGAAACGATATCCAAGAAGCGCACGCGCAAGATCAACCTCAAGGATACGTTGGGAGACACGATTAACAATGACACTCGGAGCCAGTGGGGTAAATCGCGATTGGATGAAGACGAAATGTGTCTCACGACAACGACTGTGCATGGGGAGTGCCCGGGTACCGCCTTGTGCAAAGAAGGCAGTGTGACCACAAGCGAGCTCTCGCAGAGTATGAGGAGAGAAAGAGGGATTACTATGACGAAAGAATTCGCGTGGGATGAGGGAACGCATGATCAAAGCCCAGACAACAAGGTCTAGACGAGTAGTAAAGCGACCGCGCAATCCACTCGGCTTTTGATCTTATCCGCACCAGGCACCGGAAACAGGACTTGGATCAACGTGAATATCCTATCGACGCCCACTCCCAAGCACTCCGCCCCTGAAGAACCTCTGCATAGCTCAGACCATCGGCAAGATTGAGAACCGTCCGGAAAATGTTGCGTATTGGGATGCGACGCGTCGCGGCCTCCGTAGTGCCGAGCATTCGACCAATGGGTTGGTCAGTGCACATGGCGGCAGCCTGCACTGGACCCCGCGACGGTCGACCTATCGCATGCGCTAGAATGTCTGAAGAACTCGGGGTAGGTGATGAAAGATGGAAACGGCTTGGAAAGGAACGCGACGAATGCGACGGGACGGCACGCGTAGCTGCACATGGGACGTGCTAGCGTGGCCGATCTATGAGCAAGCGCGACTGGGTAGCACCCTGACAGCTCACGTAATGCATCATCCACATTAATTTTGATCTTGATGTCTAGCAAACGTGACGTGAGTTATGACAGGTGACTGTGTTCAGTCTTCGAACTTTGTGCCTGCAGCCAAAGTTCTGTCGCCAGGCCGAATGTGGTATAGCGTTTTTGCACTCTCGTCGATCATCCCGGCGTTTTGCACGTTGCGGCCACACATCTTCCCGGCGGAGATAGTTGTCGCAGCACCACCACCTTGGAGAAGCGCCACAAGAAGCCTGCCTTTTCGTCCGATCTGAATATGGCAACGGTGCGCCATGCATATAAGAGGCACTGTGCATCTGCAGAAACTGAGATGTCAACATCAACGCACCTCGCGACTCAAGCCTCAACATGCAAGGCTACAAAGACTTCGACCCTGCAAAGGACATTCGAGACCTTTCCGGAAAAGTGATCTTGGTGACTGGAGGTGACTGAACTTATTTCCCGTCGTTGACATTCTTCTGACAGTCATATCAGGCACCGCAGGATTGGGAGAAGAAAGTGTGCGAGCACTGGCGGCGCACAGTCCATTACACATCTACTTCACAGGCCGCAATGTCGCTGCAGCGAATGCACTGATCGCCGACATCAAAGCCAAGCACCCGGGGACATCTTTGAGCTTCATCAAGATGGATCTTTCGTCCCTTCGCACAGTCAAAGAGGCCATCGCTCAAGACTTCAAACATGACCGCCTCGACATACTGATGAACAACGCCGGTATCATTGCCAAACCAGCAGTTTTGAGTACTGATGGTTACGAGATCCAATTCGCAACGAACTATCTCGGCCATGCGATGCTCACCAGAGAGCTGATGCCCATCTTGCTAAAGACAGCCAAAGAGCCCGGTGCAGACGTCCGTGTCGTCAGCAACACGTCCGCCGGTTACGAGTTCCATCGCGTCATCAAAGGTGGTATCTCCTTCGATGAGCTTGACGCTGGAAGCACGATGTCTCGAATGATGCTAGGCGCATGGATTCGTTATGGCCAGTCAAAACTCGCAAACATCCTCTTCGCAGCGGAGCTCGCGCGTCAGCATTCTGAGCTGACATCTGTAGCCATACACCCTGGACTTGTCGAGACGCCCATGAATACTGAGATGGCCGGCTGGAGTAAGACGTTCGTCAACGTAACGTCGCGCTTATCGGGCGAGAAGTGGCTCGAGCCGCATGAGGGCGTTTTGAATCAGCTTTGGTGTGCGGCCGGAGCGAACAAAGAAGCATTGCGCAATGTAGGATACTACACGCCTGGGGATGTAGATTCGACAGAAAAACTAACGGCGGAGGCTAGAGACAAAGATCTGTCGGGAAGGTTGTGGGAGTGGACGGAGAAAGTGCTCCCAAAAGTCTGAAGCTGTGGTTTGATGCATCGGTAGCACTTTGGGGCTGGGGGGCATGTAGCTCTTCCCAGCATCTGATCAGGCCAGCCTTCCCGTCCCCATCGACAGTAACGAATATCTCGTCAAACTCTTTAACCCACGATGTCCAACCCATTCCGTCCAGTTCCAAAATGGTGACCGGTACTGAAAGCAAGAAGAAGGTCATGCGATAGGTTAGTAATCTTAGGGCCAAGCCTTCATTATTTATGACATCCTCTGGACTCATCCTAGGGTACATTTGCTGTATGGCGTTCGCCCTCCACCCAAGCCAGTCTAGGCTCACAGTGTTGATATGTGAGGCCCGCTCAGATACAGTAGGTGTATGGAGGTTCAGCTTCACGACCCTTATCCGGTGGCCGGGGCAACAGACGCTCGCTGTGTATTCGAGGAGAGCGGCAAAGCTAGCCTTATCGAGAAGAACGTTGCTGAGCCGCTTCAGGAAGGAGGCCGGCTTGTCTCTGGTATCGCGCACGTTGATGGAAATGGAATCGATCGGCTCCATGCTTCGAGCTGGACAGCAGGTCCATGTGGGCCATAGCTCTTTCCTGTTGACCATCATGACATCAAGAGAATACGCCTTCGGCAGCTGACGGAGACGAGTTTTGGTCTCCTGATGCAGTTGTCTGTTCGTGAGGAGCAGTCCAAACGCACTATACTGCTGTGAGATGGGTAGCTGCAAGCAATTTGTCGCTATTGAGGCCTTGCGCGCGGCGTCATCTAACGTAGGACGACTAGGTGGCTTAGCGTGTGCACTGATGACAAGTTCGAGGATTATGTCGCGAAGTTCGCGCGGTAAAGATAGCAGATGGCGAGACATGATGAGATGGACTGCGCGAACGATGGTTACGAAGGGAGAAGAGCCGGTCCAGCACGCACAGGGACCTGAGCTAAGCCGAGGCGCTAAGCTACATCGATACAAGCCTCGCCAAAACCCCTGCAGGGTTGTTGTTCGCGGCTGCCCGTCTTCTCTCACGCACTCACTTTCGCTGTACAATACAGAAAGTCATCAGCATCTTTCACTTGACACTGCTGCCTGGAGCCTGCGCCAAAATGACGTCGTTGACGCTACTCTCGGCCCTGTCGCCTACCAAGGCTGTCGAGCTGAGGATCCTCACTTGCATAACTGTTTGATAGTGTCGAATGTACAGCTCCGTATCCAAAGCCCGCGGATACTTGCAGCTCTGAGAAAACCCACAAACAAAGGTCGCACCTACAGTCTCATCGCCAGCGACTCGCTGCTGCCAACAACATTCGCGATGTCTCGATTGGAAGCGCTTCCTCAGCACCTTCTCCGGGACATCCTCCGCTACTTGCTCCTCTCCGATCGTGTTCGCGGCCCTCCAAATCGCTATCTTATCGAAGACTATGACTTCCAAGTCGCCATCCTCCGTACAAACAAGGCCATTAACGAAGAAGCTGCCAACATCTTCAACCAGGACAACAAGTGGATCAAATTCCGCAATGGCTATGGAGACCCGATGGAGACCGCTTTGATTAACCACGAGACTCCCTACTTCAAGTTGAAGACGATGAAGTTCGAGAACCATGTCGCGGAAGTCGATGTCAATCCAAATGTCATAAGTCTACCGATTTATGGTGGGAAGACGACGACGGGACTTCTCTTACTGCAAGACATTCCCAAGTTCGCTCGCGTTTTGCGCATTGTCGACTTCGCCAACTTCTTCGGCTATAACATCAAGTTCGCGCTTCACACGCCACCCGGTGGTGTCGGCAATTTGAGTAAGGAGGACCAAGAGCGCCTGCTCAAACCCATGGAACAAGGTGAGTCGCCCACTTGCATATGTTGTACGATGAGATGTAACTAACTCGGTTCCTTCGTAGTCAAAGGTGTTGCTTTCCGACAGCAAGTCACGTTCACTTCTACATTTGATGCAACCCTTGTCCAACGCGTCAAGCAGACTATGACCCAGGGAGTCGCATGGCTGCGAGCCGGTGCTGCTGAGGTTTACGATCTCGCCTTGTCGATGAAGCGCATGGGCGATATGGCTTCAAATATCGGAAACCGAGACATGGCTTTCGCGAAGTGGAACGACACGGTCATGTTTATCGACAGCACAATGAAGCAAAACGACATGATGGATACACGTCTAGAATCTGTATTCCGGTGTCGAATCTATGCGCTCCAGTGCATGGTTGATATCGAGCGACAGCTACTTGACTTCACAGATCTGTCTACTCCGAAGAAGGGCCCCAAATTCGACCATATCTCAACGTTAGTGCAGATGGCGGAGAATGCGGAGGGTTTCAACGCGAAACTAGGATTTGAGGCGGTTCCCACATCTGCTATCGCTCGCTTCTATCGCTTCTTGGGTATCGCCGAACTGGGCCTGGACCATCCCGTGAAAGCGGCCAAAGCCTTTGTCAAGTCCTACAAGATCATGTCTCTCTCCAAAACCAAGCAAGGTTATGAGACGGCGGCGGAGTGGAAGAAGCTCACTACGACCCAGCGCAAGGCAAAGCTAGATTCTCTGCTCGTGGACCTCCCTAGCAACCCACACACTCTCTCAGGTTTCAAGGCTTGGCAAGGTCCTCAAGTCGCGTCTGAACACTGGGTCATGCGCAAACTGGGTTTCCAAGGAGAGTTTCCGTACGCTGATAAGATAAGTGGTGTAATGGGAATATGGCTGACGAACGAACCGCACCCCAACCTTTCGCGTCCAGGACCACGTACCGTACAGCTTGGAGCTGTGAAGCCGGAGGTACTGCAGAAGGTGGTGGACAAGCATCGTAAGGAAGCAGCAATGCCAATAACGCAAGGTACCGGCATGATTTGGGTCTCACTCGGAGCCAACATGATAGGTCAAGAGAGTGTTTTGGACGATCCGCAGGCTGCAAGGAGTATGGACAACATGTCACTCAACGGCCATGGAGGCTGCCCGACTCAGTGAGTGACGGGTCAATCACCTGTACTGTTCTATGTATGTGCACAGTCGGGGTGAGTGCTAGATGGGATAACGTAGTGAAAGAGGCTGGTATTGTTGGTGCGCGAGCTATCGTATCTATAGACACTCTCTCCTTCACTTCCACTATAGCATGTCCCATTGTCTAGATACCCAAATGATATCTTTGAATCTGACAAACACCTTCTTGCCTCTCCAAACCACTTACCTACTACCATCATCCCTACTGCAATCATGACATCTACATCTCACAAGCGTCGAGCCGACAATGAGCCGGCCTCATCACCACCAGCCAAGCGATCGCGCAGCCAAAAGCCGACATCCCCCCCAGCATCCTCGCCACGGCCCCCGTCATCAAGGCGAAGGACACCACGCCCAGCTATCCGCCAGCCCTCTACCTCCCGAACACCCTCAGTATCCGCCTCGCTGGACGAGGCAACCACCACCTCAGAGACAGACGCCCTCTTCCACCGCATACAATCCGGTATCACCTACACCCTCTCCACCACCACCCCCTTGCAAACAACGCGCTTCACCATCCCAACCACCACCAGCAAGCCCACTACGCTCGCCGCCCTAAACCTTCTCCGCACCCACGCCACACTCATAGCTTCATCACCACTCTTCGAGATCTACGAATTGGGCGTCCCAAGACCAGATTGGGTGAAGCAAGGGGGTTGGCTGGGCATTCACGATCCGCAGTGGTGGGTGGGGAGGAGTGGGGCGGAGGTGAAAGCGGGGCCTTGGGCGGATGAGCTTGAGATTGAGAGATGTGAGAAGCGGGTTCAGGGTGTGGTGAAGCGGAGGGAAAAGAGAGTGAAGAAGGGGGTGGGCAAGGGGGAGAAAGAGAGAGATGAGAAGCTGAGGGAGGGGCTGAGGAGGCAGAGGGCGGGGTTGAGCATGTGCGATTGAAGACAGACAAAATATTTGTGTGGAAAGATATATGGAAGGAAAGATCGGAGACATCACATGAGAGAAGAGCATGTCAAGATTGAACATTAGAGAAGACATCACATGTGAGAAGGGCATTGGTAGTTCAAGATTAAGAAGTAGTTTATGCTATAGTATAAACTACAGAGGTATCATTCTCCAGCCGGGCATCTATCCGTTCCGTGTCTTTAGTAATATGCTATACTGTACTGCATAGCTAGAACCAAACATTACATCATTCAAAGTGACTCATTCGTGTCATCAAGACGTGAATAAAACACTACACCGACTATCCATCTAGTGGACGGAAGCAGTGCGGTGGTTCTTCTCAGTGTCAACGACAATGGAACCGTTGCGCTCGATCATGGTAGAGCCACCCTTCTGGAGGGAGCTCTCGACGAAGGTGTGGGTTGGGCGCCACTTGGCAGAGGTCCTGGGAGTGGTCTCGGCCATCATCTGGTCGACCTGCTCGAGAGACAGACCCTTGGTCTCGGGAACCAAGAAGTAGGTGTAGATGAAGGCGATGGTGCAGAGACCTCCCCAGATGAAGAAGACGGAGGACTTGAGGTTACCCTGGTCGGTACCGACCATGTAGGGGGTGATGACGGCAATGATGGTGTTCCAGAGCCAGTTGGAGGCGGTGGAGAGGGCAACACCACGCGAGCGGATGGGCAGAGGGAAGACCTCACCAATGAGGACCCAGGCACCAGGACCCCAGGTGGTGGCGAAGAAGAAGATGAAGATGGCGATGAACGCGATCTGGGCGTTGACAGCGGAAATGTTGTTGGCGCGGGTGGTGCCGTCGGCGAGGGTGGTGGAGTTGTTGAATCCTTGAGTGACACCGATAATGGCAACCAAGAACTGGCAGATCAACATACCGAGAGCACCGAAGAGGAGGAGTGTGCGGCGACCGAACTTCTCCATTCCGTAGAAGGAAAGAGGGGTGGAGCAGACGTTGACCAGGGTGAAGACGAGCGAGATCAAGAAGGTGTTGGAGATGGCGCCAGTCGACTCCAAGAAGGGAGTGGAGTAGTAGAAGATGAAGTTGACACCAGTCCACTGTTGCATCATCTGGAGCGAGGTACCGAGGATAGTCTTGCGGAGGTTGGAGTTGGACTGGAAGAGAGAACCCTTGAAGCAGTTGGCCCAGCCAGAGATCCAGCCACCGGCGGGGATAAGCTCGCGCTCGTACTCCTCGTTGGCAATGATCTCAGCAAGCTCGAATTCAACCATGGACCTGAGCTCAGCAGCCTGGGGGTCGGTAGGGTGGACACCACGGATCTTCATCAGAGCCTTCTTGGCCTCATCGGGCTTGCCGCGCTTGACGAAGTAACGGGGGGAGTCGGGAAGGCACGCAATACCACCACCGAGGATAAGACCCCAGGCAAACTGGATACCGATGGGGATGCGGTACTCGCCAGTATCACCACGACCCTGGACGCCGTAGTTGACACAGGCGGCAAGCAGGAGACCAATGGTAATGCAGAACTGGTAACCGGAGACGAGCGCACCACGGACCTTCTTGGGGCAAATCTCGGACATGTAGAGAATGACAATGGCAGACTCGAAACCGACACCAATACCGGCGATGGCACGACCGGCGACAAGGAGGTCACGGCCAGTGGCAGCCATTTGCAGAACAACTCCTAAGTGGGGGTTAGTGGCTTGTTCCATCAAGTAGTGCAAGCGGGGGAGTTCGTACCGATAATGTAGATGAGACATCCCAGGACAATGGTCCACTTGCGGCCAATCATATCGGAAAGGTCACCAGCGACAAGAGCACCGAAGAAAGTACCAGCGGAGAGAATGGAGACGATGAGCGAGGTGTTGCCAGAGCTGATCTTGCAGAGGCCATCGGGAGTGTCGAGACCCTGGGGGCAGATGTTGCCCTCGACCTCCTGGATGAAGAGAGGCGAGTTGAGCACACCGTTGATGTATCCGGAATCGTAACCTGGGTATGCAGTTAGCCACTGTTATTGTGGAGATTGTGCTCTGTTGTTGTCTTACCGAAGAAGATACCACCAAAGGATGCGAAGGCGCAGAGAAGGTAGGCCTTCCAGGTGACAGGGCACTCAGTCATGTTGACATCGGTGGTAGCTTGGATGCCCTTGGGGTTGGCGGCCTCGTCGGCCAGGTCGTTGTTGTGGCTCATGATGGGCAAGTGCGTGGGGGTTGTACGCTGAGGGAGTTGACGAAGCGCGTTGCTTGAAGCTGTGCAGGGTAGAACTCGCACGCGGCCTTGGACGAAGAATCAGAATCCGAGATGCGGGTGAGTTGAGGGTTAATAAACAGAGCTGGAGATTTGAGATCTAGTGCAGTGCGGAACAAGTGTACCGCAGAAATGGCTAGGTAACATTGCGGCGCGACTAGTAGGGGCCCGTGCTTCCCTGCTATTGGGTGCATTAGCCTGGAACCCAGTGAAGGGTGCGCGCCACCAGCTCTCTGGGGAATGGTCGCCCGCGTTTTGCCTGCTCCAGCTTCTTCTCCAGGCCCGACTGGCCCGACTAACCTGGTAATTTGACAAGTGTCGGACCGGCATTTGCACCGGCTGTGATTTGACCTTGGCAGCTGGAGCACAGACGGTGGTTTTGCCTGTCTAGAACGCTTCTAGGTTTTCAGAGCCGCACGTGAGGTGCTCCCCGACCAAGGGTTCCCACTTCACTAGACTCCACCATCGTGGCCCATGGAGTCTCTCGTGGCCCATGGAGTCTCTCGTGGCCCATGGAGTCGGCTAACGTGTGTCTGCAGCAGACTGGTAACGCCGCTAGCCCCCAATACCAGGTGCGCGGCGCCCTACACTCGGCTCCCTCCGCCTTCGACGCCTGCTTTCACACATCACGATGATGCGCTGACGATGCGCCAATGGCATGGCCTGTGCTATGCTTTTCACCACTGCAGGCCTCTTTCCCCAGACAACACCATGTGGCTGAACGCTAATGCAACGGCGGTCATGATGAATGTGAACTGCTGACGCTTGTCCGCCATGGACGCCTAACGGCCAATACGCGACTTCGCTGGCCTTCGGAGCTCCTAATTAAGCGCGCAGTGTGGCACGAGTCACTCTCATTAGCCCAACACCACCAACCCCAGCCTCCGCTCCTGTCCCGACGCTGGAAACGTCCAACCGGGGCCGCCCTTGATTAGTGCATGTGGTCACGATGCACGGTCAGGATGCCTGACCCAGCGACCGCGAGAGATGCAAATCCAGTCCCTTCGCTGCGGGAGCAGATGGTGGTAGCGATGATGGCGAGAAGGCTGTCGCTACCGAGGTGGTTCGTTCACGTGGGTCGCTCGCTGTCAATCACGCGGAGGTCTCCCCATGGTTTCGATCCGACGGCCCACAACCCTGATTGGCCATGCCCTGCGCTAGTGCCTACCCCGACGAAGCTTGACGCGGAAAAGAATTCAGCCCCGACATAGCACGAATCGCCGAAGAGAAAATCTTCAGGCGCGGCATCTGAGCTCTGAGGTACATGACAAAGCGACATCGCGTACCCCGACATTCATCGTCCGCATGTTCTTCTCCACATTGTCGCCCAACGCACTGCTGCTGCTTCGCTACCATCTTTTCTCGCGTCCCCGCTGAGATGTCACCACCCCACAACTCGTACCGACTATGCAAACTTTGTGCGACAGTGGTGGCCTCAGCCGCAGCTCTCCTTGTGCAGGACTTCATTGTTACACGAGGAGCCTGTCAGACGCCGGGGTGCAATGCCTCAGTTCGTCACGATGCTCAGCTGTCATGTGCCAGCTGGCTTCTCGATGCCTCGGAGCAGGAGATGGTCCTGGGGTCTTGAAAGTCCTCCAGCGTTTTGGTCGCATCTGTCATGGAACTTGAGCTGGGCCTCTCAAGATGGCCGACATTATAGTGTCTGACCCCAGAGGCGCTCGATGCGTTTCGTGGTGGCCTGAAGTAGTGGTTTGTCTCACAGGTAATTTCACCTCATCTGCGGTACCAGGTCGGTCTACACCCTGATGGCATCAAAACTGCCGTTCTTGGGAGATGTCGAAACCCACTTGCTTATCACCTGAACTGACTCTAGCTATTCGCGCATATGCACAACGAGGCTGTGAGATGCAGCAAGGCTGGCCAATGGCCACAATCGAGGCGGGGTAGCTGCATCCTCCAGGCTTCCTCGACGGCATCTTCACCATTACTCCTAACACGTCTCTTATCTACCTAGTGGAGCTCACGCAAACTGAGTCCATGGCGTGGCACGACGCGACATGCGCAGCGCTGAAGTTGGAGTGGGAGGATGGACGACCGGGATGTCTTACCTGTCAACGTAAAGCGCCCGCTTTGTCGCCTATCCATCCAATATCGCCGCCCGCGCCTCCGCTGCATACTTCACGATCACAACTGGTGTGCACATGGCCCCCACAACTCTTCTCCGATGTTGTTCAGGATGAAGACCAGGATACATTGCAGTCTCAGAACGACTACGATGAGGAGCGAGAGTTGCGAGCATTCATATGTGCCAACATCGATGAGTGGACTCCGAATCATGCGATCCAAAGACCTCAAATCTCGTTACAGCGGAATCAAGAATGTTTGCAGCAGCAGCAGCAGGAACACCCAGAACCAATGTTACACAAGATTTATCCACACCTTCCTGATGCTGACTCGATTCGTATTCTTTGCTTGCATGGCAGCCATACGGAGAGCGACCCTATTCACTGCACTTTACTGGTCTGCGGGCTTCGCGATCCACGCCGAGCAACCTTCGAGGCGTTATCATATACCTGGGCAGACTTCGAAGGCGATTCAACCTTCCGCCAGACCGTTTTCCTCGGTCCGCATTACGACACCTTCCCAGTAACGAACAGCTGCATGGCAGCGCTAAAGCGTTACCGGACTGCTGTCGACCGCCTCATCTGGGTAGACGCCATCTGTATAAATCAGTTTGATTTGGAAGAGCGGGGGCGACAAGTGTCACTCATGAGTGAGATATACAAATCCGCCTCGAGGGTACTTCTATACG